CATATCTGTCACGCCTGTCTCCCATTAGGGTAGGCAGAAACAATGGAACGCCAAATGCTTCGATTCAAACAAACCTCTTTCGCTTCTTCCACATTCATCAATCTTTTCATACACGCTCGCCGGTTACGGGTACTTTTAATTTGGCCCTTCTTCAGCACGTCGCCTATTTGGTCAACATACATCCGTCTAGGGCGGCCCCTACCGACATCTCCATTCATTCTTGCTCGATATATCTCTTTCGTAATTCTTCTTTCATCCATCCTCTCCAAATGGCCAAACCAATATATATCAATATATAGCAATATTCATATATTTTAGATACAAAATCTCAAAATATACTGGTCCAATAACCAATATGTTAAAAGTGTGTTATCCAAAAAATAATATTGGATAACCAGACTTTTAATATATTTGAAAATAAATATCATATCGATAAGGGCGATATCGAAATGGGTGATGAGCTTTTTTCCGCCAACAAAGTCTAGAGGAACCTAACATACAGATTTCAGATCGGTATCCATATTACCCTCGCCTAAAGTACTATAAAAAGAGCATTAAAATTAGGGGGGAGGGGGAAGGGATTGTTAGTGATGTGAACTACTAGTCTCATTGCTAGCAATATACCCTGTCCGGTCGACTTCCACGTGCTCCCACCCTGGAAACCATCGTGCTGAATTCCAGGTGTATTCATCACGATGGGCTAATTGACCTGCTTTTTCATTGTCACCACTCTCACTCCTTCTTTCACTGGTGCCTGCTAGCGTATACTGTTACCACAAGCGGGATTACCATTCCGTTATCATATATTTAAAAAAAAAACATTAAAATTAAGACGAATAAACCTTGGTGCTATCCATTCGCTTCAGGTTCGCATCTAGATCGCTTACGTCATCTGAAACTTAAGTTTACTACGTAATAAAGTTCCAAAGAAGTTGCACTCTCTAAACGGCAGCGGTTATACGACAGATATTAATTTTAGTAGATGCACCAGCTGGAATTGCTTGCATGATTGTGCACTGTGAAGTGTAAAATTAACTGGGGATTTAACATACGAGTACATTTGTTTACTGTTTTAAACTTCCATGGCTATTTACTACAGACATAACACGAAATAATTTAAACCATGGTCAGTCACTCTTAGCGAAATTCATACGTAATTCGATTTGTACTGTAAATAAGCATATTTTAAACGCATTTGGAATGTTCGAGTAAAATATTTTTATTATAAATGTTAGATAATCGAATTTTGTATTGATCAATTATAGATTTAACTATATAAAATTAAAATAATATTTTTTATCAATAAACAACACCAGTCGGAGACTTTGTATAAAAGTAATTTGCTTGAGCACTTCTGTCCCATTCGTGTTTCTACCGTGAAGCAGTTGTGTTTGCATGGCTGTGTTTCGGTTTGAAGGGTGGGATATGACAGTGAATTTACAAACTACTGAGGAATAACATCTGAGTCCTCTAGAATGACAACGCTTCGGGGTATCATGGGCGTAACAGTATACTCTGTTATGTCCACGGTACTGCTCATGTTTATAGGCGACGGTTACCACTTTCCATCAGGTGGGCCGTCAGCTTGTTTGGCATTCTAAATTGCATAAAAAAAAAACATTCACCTTCTTATTCATAAAAACGTTGACTTTTTATGAATAAATATTAATTATTGTATGAAGTTTGAATTTCCAATAAATTACTTTAGCTATTTCATATTTTAATTTTATGACACTTTGAGTTAGAGCTTATATTCGTTGTCTACAATAACTACAAACAAGACAAGACAAATGATTAATTCCTAATAAAAAAAAAGATGTATTATTGTATTTTTTTTGTATACCCTAAAATAGTTGTTGTACCCTAAAAAAATTTTGGGACACTTGATACGACACGACGAACTTATGAACATTATAATAGAAGCTAAGATAGAAGGAAGGAGGGGGAGAGGGAGACCGAGACATAGTTACATCAGGCAGATCAAGGAAGGAGTTGGTGTCGTGTCGTATCAAGAGGTGAAGAAACTCGCTGAAAATCGTAGTAAGTGGCAAGAGCTCCACCGATAAGAGCGCAGCTCTTAAATAGGATAGATAGATATACCCTAATGTAAATATATTTTTAACAGCCAAAAATGAGAATTTGAAGAACAGTGGATTATTAATTATAATATTAATATTATATTAACTTTTTATTCTTCTTTCAATTTAAATTAATTAACTTGTTTCATTATTAATTTAAAAGGCGTTAAAGCTAAACCGGTCAGTTACTGCGTAAATCCAGTACATTTTAATGTTAACAGGGTAGCACGTCTGCAAGGAGTTAGAGAATGCCGTTTCATTAAATTTGTATTAGTTAAGTTTGATTAATAAAGTTGCCGCCTCAGCATTTTCACTTTTGGCGGGAAGTTTTCGTATTAAGAACACTCTTGGTATATAGTGGACCTCAGGATTAGATAGTTCGAGTTATGATTATCATCAAGAAACCATTTTGTCAAGTGGTTTATTGAAAAAATCTGTATCTATAGGTATATATATTAAAACTGTAACTGGACAATAGGTATATATGGTGCACGTATCAACGTGCACTATACATAATACCTTTGATTAGAACCTAATTGTGTGATCTCAAAGTATAGATTTTTGAAATTTTGTAGAATGCCTCTTCCTCTCCCGTGGGTGTAGGAAGAGATGGCTAAGGTAAGTTAATGGTCGAGGGATGGTTAGCAGTGTCTCTATTAAAATATCACCAACACAGACAAACAACAGATATATTTTGTACAAGAAAGCAGTACTTGACTAAAATAAAAAAACATAACAAACACACACACACATACACGCACGCACGCACGTACACCCGCACGCACGCACGCACGCTCGCACGCAAGTATGCACACACGCACTCACACACGCACGCACACACGCACGCACACACACACAAACATTATTGTAAACATTTTATGTCTATGGTATCATCAACATTATATTTTTGTTTTTTACCAGTAGTTGCCATGCTTGTCGAGTGGGTTGGCAATCGCTGGTTTTGGTGATGTATTAAGACAGACATTGCTGCCCATCTTTCGACAATTAGGTTCACTTAATCCTACAACACCCACGGGAAAAGAAGGGGTGGTCCATTCTATACCGAAACCACACAGCAATGTCTATGTTTTATTTCAACAATAATATGGCTGACGTACTAATACGGCTGCGATTTTTTCACGTATTTATAAATAATATATCAATTCTGACATATGACAATAGATGGCCGCGGACGCCACGTCCAGTACGCAGACGACGCAGGCAAATTGTTCTGCAAATGTAGGCACCTCGTACATAATAGATGAAGTCGTCTGCACGCCTGTCGTGGCGTTAAAGTGTGTGGAACGGCCCTTTTTAAAATCACTAACAAAATATATATATGTATTACTATATAGTAATCTGCTAATGCTTCTCACGGGTAGACAATAAATTAATTAGTATTTTACACTAGTTATATCCTACAGCTTCACTTGAAACAGTAGATAAAGTACATTATTGTAAATTTATTTCATTATTGTAAAATTCATTAGTAACTAAACAAAAATTTATATTCATACTACCAAATGATACTAAATATATCTATCTACTACAGAATGTCCTTACAAATAACGTTTACAGCTTTTTTGTAATTAGACAATACGAACATTATAAAGTGCTATAGGGCGAAGCGCGGACTTCGGCGTGGTACTTATAGGCACGTGCCGCCGGACGAGCCGGTACCTCCACACCGCTATGTCCCTGCGTTTTAAATCTGTAATATTTTTGAAAATATTCATTTAAATTACATGCTGTAAAGGGGCATATTGATCTATATTAAATGGACAATGTATTGAAGGTACTCAATTGGATAAAAATTAATGCTGTAAAAGCAGTCTGAAGGGCTTAACCTTTTCTTAGAGTTGATATATCTGATATAAGAATAAGATCGTTGACAGTAGTAACTAATCGCTAGAAATGAGAGTTGGTGTGGGCGTCACAGTGTATTCTATGATCCGTGGTTCATATCTATAAATGGTTACCATTCCCATCAGATGGAATATCATTTTTGTTTGTCATTCGCAGTAGTCATAAAAAATGTATGAATGATTAAATAAAAACCAAATTACTATTGCTTTAGTGTTGTCATTTTAATTACCATTTTTTCCATACAGTTTCCGGTCAGGTTATCTAACTTAAAAGCAAATGGTTTCAAAATATAACTTAAATTTAGTTTCACATACAATGCAATTTTCTTTCTCTTACCTTTTTAGGGTTTCCTACCAAAAAGGTACAAAGGAACCATTATGGTGCGACTTTCACCCACACGACACACACTTGGCTGTATCCCATCAGCTATTAATGTTATTGATTTCAAATTTGGAATAGTTTTGCATATCATTGTATAGAATCATATATTGCGATAGCACAGGGGGGTTACCCTGTCATTTTCACCTATTAAAAAATATCCCTTTATCATTATGTTCTTTTAGTCGCCTCTTACGACACCCACAGGAAAGAAAGGGGTGACCTATTCTATACCGGGACTACACGGCACGACTTCTATTGTCTATGATTAATTATTGAAAATATATATTTACCACAATAATAAAGTAGCCTATATCACTAAGGAAAAATATGCCTTTCTAACAGTGAAGGAATTTTCAAAATTGGATCATTAGTACCGGAGATTATCTCGAACATCTAACCTCTTTATATAGATTTACGTGGCCACAAAACGACTTCTGTCGATGTGAAACAAAAACAATTTTAATGTCCAGACAAGATCTCCACTGTAAATAACCTCAATCTATCTATGTGGGTACATTCTTTAAATGAACATCACTATACTCTTTCATAGAATCTCAGACCAAATTCAAATCTGAATTGAGTCTTATTTCGCGTGAACCACAATGTATCTCGCTCCATTACAAATGGGGAAACAATTTGTATCAAGGCAGAGAACGTCAGAAACTGCCGCGGAAATTATACGAATGAGCGTTTATTGGTACTGGGGGAGGATGCAACACCGAGAGATTGCATAGAAGGGTGTTTCCATCCCTCTGAAATCCCAAATCATTTTCAGTCTACGCTGGTCGGTGCGCGCGGGCGGTCGTGTCGCTTGCGTGGTGTTATCGCGATATCAGACCAAATTCCAACTCCGTGTTGTTCTTCTATAGTTGTTTAAAGCAGCGGGGAAGTTACACACACCCGGTAAGTAGCGTTAAGACAATGTTATGTGTATATCTGTTAAGGATTTAAACAAATTGGCGTTTCTTTGTTTTATAAGCAAACTTTGGTAGTTAATCCGCCGGGTCGTCCGTGGGGAGCACTTATTAAAAAACTTGAAGTTGTGATGGGTATTTTAAAAGGCGTTTCCCAGACGTTTCAAGCGTTATGGCCGGCACTACTCTTGGTTAATCAGGGCTGTAATATTTCGAGTCACTTTGCCGTGACGTGACACTTTGCTACTTACAGCGTCGTTTTGGTTTGAAATAAGTTGTGCTAGATGATAATCAAGTTTTCTATAAAAATATTTATCTATTTTATCCTTACTATATTACAAATATGCATGCGAGTTCTTTAGTTTGTTTATTTGTAAAAATATCTTTTAGTTGTTACAATTCATAGATTACTCTCAAGACATTACCAAAATGCAAAATTTGCATGTCTTATGAAAAAAAGTTAATAATCCAAATTGTGATGTTTGCAACACATTGGATGATATTAAACATATGATATCTCATTATAAAAAATACAAATCAGAAAAGGAAGCCTTCATACAGAAATATAGTCTAAGTAGACAAGATATTGGATTATTTATAAATATACTCACAGATCCACATTCCGAAACGCCAAAATCTATATTTGCTATATTTTTGTATCAATGATTCCCTCTATTAAAATATGTTACTAAAGTATGTGAAATAATAAAATAAAGTTAGGGTATGATAGGGCTGACATATTTTTATACGATAAAAGTCTAAATAAAAAAGATAAAAAAAATGTATCACAAGTTTTTTACAAGCAATTTCGTCACGCGCGTTTTCTTCTCCATTTCAAATACTACAAAATAAATCAAAACTTCATAGCAATTTGTTAAGCCATTAAGACGGTCGAGATGTAACGAACAAACTTACTTTCATTTTTATTTGCAATATTAGTAAGCATTTTCCCTAATCTTTAATCTCTAGGAGTAACTATATGCAGATGCCTCGGGATTGTTGTTATGACAGTCTATAAATATAGGCCTCCCCCTATGTTCGTATATGTATGTATATTATGTATTTTATAAGCAGTGGACGGATATAATATATATATATATATATATATATATATATATATATATATATATATATATATATATATATATATATATATATATACCTTTTTAGTTTCTTATATCCTAAGGTTATTATAAAAATATTGTTTTTACTCGTAGCAATAACATGCCTTATTTCATTTTTAAAAGTATACTCGTATTTTAAAATATACTTTTAAAAATATATATCGACTTCAAAGATAGAAGAATTTACTCATACCAGAGGGAGACTTTGTACAAAAGTCGATTGCTTGGGTACCTCTGTCCCATTCGTGTTTCAATTGTGAAGCATTTGTGTTTGCATGGCTGTGTTTCGGTTTGAAGGGTGGGATATAGCGTGAATTTACTAGGTACAGAGGAATAACACCTGAGTCCTCAGGAATAGCAACGCATGGGGGGTATCATGGGCGAAACTGTATACTCTGTTATGTCCATGGTACTGCTCATGTCTATAGGCGACGGTCACCACTTTCCATCAGGTGGACTGTCAGCTTGTCTGCCATTCTAAGTTGTATAAAAAAAATATTTTTTTATATAATTTTCAACCGACTTCAAAGAGAGAAGGTTCTCAATTCGATTGCATTTTTTATGTTTATAACCTCATAACTGCGTCAGTCGTAAACCGACGTGGATTTTTTATCTAAAAAGATATACAAATTGGTTCCATAGAAATTTAATCAAAATCGGTTCAGTGGTTTAGTTTTAAAATGAAAATAACTGATTTTGCCACAACTGAAATCATGGTTTTTGTGAAACGCATTATCATAGCCATCCACTTCTAAACATAGGCTATCCCTTATTTGGAAGGTTGGTCAGGAGTTGCCACGCTTGGCAGACGAGTTGGTAATACAACCTTGATATAGTAATCTATACTAATATAATAAAACGGGGGGAAAGGGATTACTAATGCTAGCAAAACACCCTATCAGGTCCACTTCCACACGGTTACTCCTGGAAACCATCGTGGTTAACTCTAGTGGAATTCGTTACGATGAATTAACTGACCTGCCTTTTCATCCTCACTTATCATCCCTCACTGGTGTCCCGCCAACATTTACCAATAACGCAGGCGGGGTTACCATTCCATTATCACCCATTAAAAAAAATGTATATAATAAAACGGAAGTACTTAATTGATTAATTGAACGCTCTAACCTTTAGAAGTGCCTGTCGGATTTAAAAAAAATATTTTTAAATTTGACAGTTTATTTTTTTAAGAACATTATTCAACGTCACGATGCGACCACGGACAGAGTCGCGGTAAAAAGCCAGTTATTAATATAATAATTATATTCACCGGTTCTGTTGAGTGAAACGTCTCGAGTTTTGGGTTTGTCGTTAACTTTGAACAATTGGCGACACGCCATCGTATAACTGAATGTTAACGAGTTTGAACTTCTCACCTTCCTTCTATCCTGGTAAATTTTAAGATGTACGTTCTGAATTATATAGGTATATAATTCAAAATATATTGTTTATTTCGAATAAATAAATAAATATTTATTTTTATTGTTTTGATTTCTGTCTTGCACTACCGCTGCCCACTCACAACTTCCTATGCCGCTGTGTTTTTTTTTAAAGGGTGATAATGGAATGGTAACCACACCTGCGCTATCGGTATACACCGGCGAGGCACCAGTGAAGGATGATAAGTGAGGATGAAGCAGGTCAGTTAGCCCATCGTGACGAATTCAACAAGAATTGTTCACGATGGTTTCCAGGGGGAACCACGTGGATGTCGACCTAATAGGGCATATTGCTAGCAATGAGGCTGTCAAACTCCATTGCTAACAATCACTTTCCCCCCAGTTATGCCGCTGTGTTAGCTTGACTGGAAGAAATCTAGTTTAGAGGAGAGTTCACATTTGCTTTCATTGTTTCCAATTGTTATTATTACTGTATATGTTAGTGCAGTAAAGAGTATTATATCTTTATTACATTTATTACTTTTTGATGATTAAATCATGAACGAACCGATTTTTGACTGACTTTATTTCAACCTAACTCTAATGCCCGCCAGCGTTTAACGATAGCATAGGTTACAATCTCATTATCATCCCATTAGAATCATTCACCATTATCATCCTATCAACCGTTAACTGTCCACTTCTGAACATAGACCTCTCCCATAGATTACCATAAGAAAAAGTCCCATGCCTCCTGCATTCACTGGCTCCCTGCAATGTATTTGACGCTGCTCCAAGTACCGCTATTTGTAATCGTTAAACAAAAACCGTTCTTCTTTTTCAACCGACTTCAAAAATAAGGAGGTTATCTATTCGGCTGTATTTTTTTATATTTGTTACCTCATAACTCTGTTAGTTGTGAACCAATTTGGAAAATTATATTTTCGTCTTAAATTATATCCTTTCAGATGGCAAACAAATTAAGTAATTCCATATTTTATAACATGATTATATATTGCCATGTCTATACTATAAGTGTTTTTTTGTAACAAATTATATGTATGTAACATTATTATTGTACCAATAAATAAATAAAAAAGACATTTTAGGATTAAATATATACTTACAGATTGATCCCATAGATATTTTATCAAAATCGATTCGAGATCGAGTAGTTTAATTTTTAAATAAAAAAAATGGTTAAAAAATAAAAATAATGGTTTTGCCACAATTGAAGCTTTTTGTGTATTGTGTTATATTCCAATTTATAGGTTATAATAAAATAACAAAATAACACTTCGGTTAATACTCGAGGCAGTTAAATGGTAACATTTATTAGTTAACATGTAACTACGTAAACAGATATAGGGTAATAAAAGTTGAACCCACTGTTTTACGCGTCCGATCCTATTGGCAAATGGTTACTTAAGCTGTATTAACGATGAAAGGGCGTCATAGTATTTTGTATAGCTATTTTGGATTAGTTATTATATTGTCTATGATAAATCTAAAATAAATAAATAAAATAAAAAAAAATCACATCTACCGCAAGCAAATCAACTGGCTCCCAATAAGCTACTGACGTGACATGCACATCCTACCCTGCACAAGATTTTGTTTGACCCTTTCGCCCCAGATTACCTTAGAGAGAGATATTCCTATAGAATCTACCACACCTACGCAAAATTTTCTACTGTGCAAACTGCTAGACTTTGGAATTTCCTCCAAATGATATAAGAATGACAGAGACCGTCCATGCCTTCAAAGCTCAAACAAAAAGATTTTACGGTACAATTGACAGTTGAGTTATATATATATATATATATATATATATATATATATATATATATATATATATATATATATATATATATATATATATGTATAATAGGTATTCTTTATTTATATAAGTATTAATACTATATATTTTTTATATATGTTATGTTTTATAATTAGGAGTATGTGCTTAGGTGAACTGTACTTAAATAAATATACCTACCATTATTAAGATATTATTAAGATATATATAGTTTTTTTAATTTTCTTTTTATGCATCTTAGAATGGAAAACAAGCTCACGGCCCGCCTGATGGAAAGTGGTAACTGTCGCCTATAGACATGAGCAGTACTATGGACATAACAGAGTATACTGTTTCACCCATGATACTCTTGCGACACGCGTTGCCATTTCTAAGGATTCAGGTGTTATTCTTCTGTACCCTGTAAATTTACTGGCATATCCCACTCTTTAAACCGAAACACAGCCATGCAAACACAACTGCTTTACGCTAAAAACATGTCTGTAAATTGTTTAATTACAATTTCGCTATATTAAATAAGATATTTAGGAATATTTTTTTTGATGGGTGAAAATGGTATGGTAACCCCGCCTGCGCTAACGGAATACGCTGGCAGAGCATCAGTGAAGGTTGATAGATGAGAACGAAAACAGGCCAATTAGCCCATCATGATGAATTCATCAGGAAT